CCAACCCAAACCAGTCTGTGACTGACATGTCCTCTCTGAGAATAAAAACAGCACAATGCTTTATTAAAAAAATAATTTCTTTGTGTAGAGATGGCATTCTAAAGACAGTGTATTGTACTGATTTTTGTATTAAGTGGAATTATGTAACTTTTACTAGCAGCCATTGAATATAACTTTCTTTGTTTCTGCAGGAGTTACTAAAGTTGATTACGGAGACATATCGTCACGACTTGGACTCAGACGCAAGCTCCAGTGCAAGCCTTTCTCCTGGTACCTGGAGAATGTTTATCCTGATTCCCAAATTCCACGCCATTACTTTTCTCTGGGAGAGGTAGGATTTTATTCTAAGTATTTATCTGCCCTATGTAAAGTATGTTGTGCAGTAAGTTGTTTGTATTCTGAACTGAGTAGTGCAAGCAAAGTATCTCCAGTGAAGTTTAGGTGTCTTGCCACCTGTGTTCCTGTGATACATCTGGCTTCTTGTTGGGCAGAAAACTGAACTTTGTTATGCAGTTCTACAACTTGAATTTTTTGCTTTTTTACTACAGCACTAAATGTCACATAGAAGGGCTTTAGAAATATTCCTTCAGAAAGTTATCCCTAACTGTGCATTTCTATATAATGCTCTCCTTGTAGAGTATAGGCAGATTTTTGCTTAAACTAGACCAGGTCAAACAAGGACTTTGCCTCAAAACTGTTCAGCCCCAGAACCCTTGTCACTGCCCAGCAAATGGCAGTGATCCCTAAGCCTTGCTGGGCAGTTCTGTTTTCTCCTTGAAGTTTAAGTGACTGTAGAGGTAAAACAGAGAATGCGGTCCTAAATAAGTAGGCACCAACGTTCCCCTGCAAGTCATGTTGAGCCAAATAGTGAGCCTGTTGTAGGGTGATTTTTGTACTGATTGTTTTTTTTAAAAAAATGCTTTTCACAAAATGGAGCAGGCATTTGTGCTGCTGCATTACTATTAGGATCCTTGATATTCATGCCTGCTTACTATGTAGTAATGCAGGGATTAAGGCTGTTACTCAAGAATTGAGGAAATTGAACCCAGTCACCCATGATTTCAAAGGGGATTAAATACACCATGCTTAGGACAGTGCTTTGAAACTGCTTGCTGAAGGTTTTGGGCTGGAGACTCAATTGTGTCCATTCTGTTGTAGCTGAGTCTTTAGGCAAAAAGAGTCCCCAAGATGGAAGGAACCCTGAAATAAAGGAGAGAAACACACACAGTTCTGTAACCTGGCAGTTTGAGCATTGGGTTGGGAGTTTGAGTCTCGGGCAGTGGTCTCTCATGGTAGTATGGTTGCCATGTTTTACATCTCATTCACATAACCTCTCCTGTATGGCTGAGAGAACTGGTGCTGGTGGGGTTTGATAAGGACCTAGTTCTCTTATAAAAAAAAAAACAACCTTCAGTGGCATGCTCTTTTTCATTCCCAGATAAGAAATGTGGAGACAAATCAATGTCTGGATAACATGGCAAGAAAAGAAAACGAGAAAGTTGGAATCTTTAACTGCCATGGAATGGGTGGCAATCAGGTGACAATTTTTTTTTAATTATGTTAATGTATTAAATTATTTGGAACACTACTCATGAAGACAATTCTTTGATTCTTTCAGTAGTATCTTTAAAATATATTTAAGTTGTAAAGTTTAGGAAACCCTCATTGAAGAAGATGCCTGTAAGAGAAAATGTGTGAGATTTGTTGCTGGCTTGTCATTTGTAGGTTTTTGAGGCCTGATTACAATAATTCAACTTTCATGTCAAAAATGAAATGAAGGGAGGAGGGAGAGCGCTGTAAGCTCAACTTTACTTCCTGTAGGTTCTCCAGAACTGTCTTCTGGTCAGACCTCCTGATTGGCATAGTTATTTGAAAACAAACATGCCTGTACCTGAAACGCTGTTTTTAGTGTACCTTTTTCTGGGTGCCAGTTCTGGAATTTTTTACATCAGTGTTTTTTTTGTTCTGCTTTGTTAATAGTTCTTGATTATTTTTTTTCCAATATACAGAGATTATCTGTGGTGGGGATCCTTCTGTTTCTATGTAGGAAGCAGTCTACTTTAAAAAAAAAAAAAAGTAAATTTTGACTGAAGAGCTTGTTCATATAATGTTTATATTTCCCTCCCCCCAAGCCAAATAAAAATCTTTCTATAGATGCTGAAGGGGGGGGAAAAATAGTAGATATTAATAATTAATGCACAAACGTTCACCCTTCCTCCTGCCCCAGGAATGTTTTAGTTGAACTTCTGTTCCTCTCATTATTTTTCTATCTAGGTTTTCTCATATACTGCCAACAAAGAAATTCGAACAGATGATCTGTGTTTAGATGTTTCCAAACTTAATGGCCCAGTAACAATGCTCAAGTGCCACCATCTAAAAGGAAATCAGCTTTGGGAATATGATCCAGTGGTAAGTCTGCTAATGACTTGTGGCATTAAAATGAGACAATTCAGGTTTTCACATGAGCCTACAGAGCAGCATGTTCCAGTGTGGGACCATGATTTGACAGTCAAAAACAGGAAACAAAGTGAGGATTATGTTCCCTTTGTTATTAATTCATGGTTTAGTGACTCCATGGGCTTCTCTATTGATTTAATTACCCAGTGAGTTTTGGGGGTGCTTTGAAAAGAATATTTTTTAATGTGCTTTTGGATCCTCTGGAGAAAGGTAGTCTGCCAGCGTAGTGGTGTGTTACAATGAGATCAACAATGGAAATCTACCGGACTAGTAAAAGGTAATGCTAACACTCTTGTGACAGATTCCGCATCCGGTGTCTTATCTTGTACAAGATTAAAAGGAAATACTTTTCTCATTAAAAATATCAGCATCCCAAAATTAGAAGGAAGACTCTACATTTCTAATCGTGGTCTGTCTAAGGTAGAGATGCTTAAACCGACTTTAATCATCCTCTTTCTTGTACGTAATGCTCAAATTTATTTTGTGCCAGACCTAGAAATCATTGACCATTGATCCATTCATCATTAATTTGATTTGCAAGCTCTAAAAAACAATTTTGTGATTGAGTAGTGCAGCGAGGAGCGTTGACTTATGGCATGGTTGGTTAGAGAAAAACATTTCTCAAGGTTGTTAATTTAAAATAAGTTACTGCAAAAGACAGTTAGGAGACAATTTGTGGAAGACTCTTGCCAGTATAATCATGATGACTTTTTTAATAAAGAGAACATGTAGATATTTAGCTACTAAAAAGTCACATTTCACAGATTAAAAAGAAAAAAGGGTGGGAGGCGGTATTTCTAATTAGAGTGCTATAGATTTTAGTAGCTGGGGTGTTAACAAAATCTACAGCCTTCAAGATTAAAAAGGAAATATATATGAATGATGATTTTTTTTTTCTTTATTAGGATGGTAGTTAATGTCCAAGACAGTGGATCTCTACTATGATTTGTGCCCATTGCTAACAACTGCTGATAGGACACTGAAGAAAGCTACTTTCAGGACTAAATGTTAATTGAAAGGATTAAATTTGAGTCTTGGGAACCATTCATTCTTGGGTTTTATGTAGTTAGTTTACCTAACTTAAGTAAATAAGATGAGTAATACGATTACGTGCAGTGACTCACCAAACAGCAAGTGCTTTTTATTTTGTTTCTACCTTATCTGCAGTAGGAAGATTGCACCTTTAGACCCCTAATTACAGTAGTCTGTCTTGGAATGATTGCAGCAGACTGTAAGAACAGACTTCCCCTGTATGGATCCTCAGCCATAAATTTTTTTGTATGTGGGTTTTTTCCTCTTTATTCCGTCAGTGGAAAATCTAGGTATAATCTTAACTTTACTGAAAGCTGGCTAATAAGGCATGAATTTAGCACGAAGTCCTGCCCACATAGCTGGGTGACTTTTCCATAGGTTTTTTTTCCCCTTCTGCCTCTGTTCGGGAGGCATGTAAAGAAGCCCCTTTCCCTTCATATCTGCCAGGAAGAAGAAGAAATGTGGGAAGAAGCTTTGTGTTAGCTACTTGTTTACTTAAGTTTCTTCCAACTCCCTTCATTCTCAACTTGCTTTATGAGTGCAGGAGATTGTGTTCAGGTTTTTGTTTGTTTGTTTTTTCACCCTTTGCTGCTGGTGCACATACAGCCTGCCTGTTCTGCTACTTTCAGCGTCCTGGTTGTGCTGCTGAGTGAGAGCAGAAATACTGATAGTAATGCCAGTCGGTACCATAGATAAGCTAATGCACTGATGAGTATCCATAGTAGAGTGGCAGGAAATGCAACTTCCAAAGATCTCTTTTCCATGAAGATAGTGCTGGGGTAGATGGAGTGGTGTGTGGAAGATTACATAAATAAGATTATTAAGTTAGATTAATAGGTATTGGAAAAGATATATATGTATGTGAATTTGTACGCATCTTTTCTAAAGATCATACTCTTTAAAAACATCATAGTACTAAAAGAACATAGTGTAAGGTCAGTTTTGTGTCCCCATCTGAGAAGAAAGTGCACTTTTGAATACATACTTAATGTGCTCATTCTGATCTGATCAAAATCCTTTTTTAACTAATACTTGAAGTTGTATATCTTACCAAACTTTAATTTCTAACACCTCAAAGATCCCTTGCTGTAGAATCCTGTTTAAAGGATGGTGAATATTGCTTGATAAAGAACGTCGTTTAAAAGTTCAGACTGTTCTCTTTTTCATGAAGCAGTGTGTTTGGTATCTGCAACATCAAATAGCATATTTAAGTGTTCTTTAGGATTGGGATCTGGATTGGTAACCAAGAGGGTCTTGTCTAGTTCCGCCTTACCTTTGGGAGAATTTTAATGGCCACTGGAAACTTTTTTAGTTAGCTTATGCCAGGTGATTTTTACAAAACTAATTTCTTTTTGTTTTATCTTCAAGAAATTAACCCTGTTGCATGTGAACAGTAACCAGTGCCTGGACAAAGCCACCGAAGAGGACAGCCAGGTACCCAGCATCAGAGACTGCAACGGCAGGCGCCCCCACCCGTGGCTGCTTCGCAACGTCACCCTTCCAGAAATATTCTGAGAGGTTCTAAGGAGAAGCAAGGATTGACTGGGCTACCTCGGCTGATACTTCGGCTACGCTGTTAAGTAGCAACAGAAGAAACTTCTGTTTGGCAGAATCCACGGTTGTTCAGCTGTTAGAACTCCTGCAGCTTCTCAGTAGCTGTGAACCAGCCTTCCTGTGTAAGGATGTGAACCTACCACACATACTAGTGAAACTGCGCCCACTGATGTTTACAAGATCGAAAGAGTTTCTTCCAGCAGATAATTTAGAGAACTTTCGGACAGTGGAAAACATAATCAATGAAATAGTCTCTCTGAAGAGCTGCATATCGTTGTAGTTTGCTTGCACCTCAGTAACCTCTGCTGAAAGTGCTGTTGTAATGAAGAAAGTTCCAAGAATTTTTTTTCCTGGTTAGCAGTGATAACCAGACTACTAAATATAGTTCCACAAATAAATGAGAGCTGGAAACCAGATTCAATAACATGAAATGAGAATTATGTGGTTTAAGAACAAAAAGTAAACAGGGTTTAATGGAAACTAAATCAGAACAATGAAAAGTACAATTTGTTATAGTGAAGTATCAAATTTATATGTAGATTTTATACCTCAGTGGGGGAAAATAACCAAGTCAAAAGGCAATTGTTTCTCTTTTTCAATTTTGTGATAGTCCATAAATACTTTTTTTTTTTTCTGGTGGGTCTAAAATTATTTTGGGTGCGAACAAACTGAGCATAAGAATAAACTTAGCTCTTGAATGTCAGATCAACTTTTTTCATTTTTTTAATTTTAATTTCTTGGCTGTTGGAATTGTATCTTTTTATTACTGTCTGAAAACTGGAGGTTAACATGCTGTCTAACTTTTTTTTTTTGTCCAGACCTGCCGTTTCAGTTTATACTTGGGTCAGTCAGCTTATGGACTTTGATGGCCAAACAAAAGATTTAAGTACACTTTGAAATTAAGTTAACGTGACAGAATATGCTTAGCGCCCAAGACTCATACTACTGTACTACCGTTTTGTTTTCATAGCAATAAATCTTTTGTTCCTTGTTTTGATTTCAGTCATCAGAAAGCCAGAAGAAAAGATACATGATTTGGGTAGCAGGAGATCAGCAAAACTGAAGGTTTTCTGGAATCCTTTCCCACTTCATATTCAGATGTGCTTCATTGTCAAGTGCATATTTAGATTAGAGACTGAATTGTAATGTTGATCTGCTGCTTTTTTTCTAATAAAACCTAAAGAAAAATAGCTAAATTGGCATGGTTTTTAAAGTTAACATAGCCAAAAGCAATATGACTACGTCATTACATTGGTCTGCATTTTTTAACTGAATTGCTTTGTTTTGTTAAGAAAAATCTGCGTGGGCTGATCTTAAATGAGCCACTGAATGCTCAGAGTATACATTGAATTTTCTTTTGGAAAGAAAAATGAGATTTGCTTAATGGAGAGGATATTTTTATGATAAATGTCATTGTTTGGCCAACTGTCCTGTAAAGCAAATTAAACCTAGACTCATGCAAAAGTTGTGTGGAATTATATTTGGCCGTTATGGCCATTTTTGGTTTGCTATTCCAAGTTGCTTCAGTCCATGCTATATCTGTTAATTTTGCAATACTACACAAGTTTTCATACATGAAGCAGGGGAAATATTAACAAATTGCAGTATTATGTTGCTACTTCTAAAATACAGGATGTGGGATTAATATTAGATAAAGCATCTACATATGTAACCGTCTGTCACTCACACCTCTTTTTGGATAGCCCTGCATATCCAAATGGGCAGGTAGCGCTAGGACAAGGGATAATGGGTTTAAACTGAAAGTGGGGAGGTTTAGATTGGATATCAGGAAGAAGTTCTTCCCAGAGAGGGTGGTGAGGCACTGGAACAGGTTGCCCAGAGAAGCTGTGGATGCCCCATCCCTGGAAGTGTTCAAGGCCAGGCTGGATGTGGCTTTGAGCAACCTGGTCTAGTGGAAGGTGTCCCTGCCCATGGCAGGGGGGTTGGGACTGGATGGGCTTTAAGGTCCCTTCCAACCTAAACCATTGTGTGATTCTGTGATCTTACAAGGCCAAAGTGAATTTATGAAAATAATCGTCTGGTACATTTATCAGAATTGTACTGAAGTGTACCCGTGTACCCAAATGACTCAAAAGAAACCAATACACAAAACCAAACAAAGCAACCAAAACAAAGCAACAATGCTTTCTTAATGGTTATGTGAGAAGTCTTACTCCTTTGGTACAGCCAATAAGGAGGATGGGATGGCTGACAGCGTTGTCATATGTAGTTGATACATTTTCTTGCTCCTTAGATCCTCCTGTGGTCCCTCCTTCTTTTGTTCTGTTTCTGAAGTGGCAGTTTGTGGCTGCCTGATCCTGCGTATTAGCCCACCGAAATGCCGTGTGCAACCCTCTGCTGTGTTACCAGTGCATGATGGCTTGGATCATGGTTTGGATTTTATTTTAGTTTATCTTAGCGGACTACCTTTGGTTTTGGTGGAGAGTGGGTAGAAGTGAGGTGATGTATTAGTTCAGAAAACAGTTTCCTAGACTCAAATGCATCCCTTTAAAACACTGCCCATGAATCAGAGGTGGTAACCTTCCATGGAATGAGAAGCAGGAGCATCAGAAGGACAGTGTAAGTCTTGTAAATTTTTGAAATTTCTTAATTTAGTGTTTCGGATCTCGTAAGTAGGTGGCACATCACCGAACCAAATACATTTTCATTTATATTTTTAACTCTTATGATTACTGTGGTGAAACCCTCTCAACAAAGCTGAAGTGCCATGGCTTGTAAGGTAACTAAACCTCAGGCCTCAGCGTTACTGTGATTTTGACCCTTGTTAATTTGACAAGTCGCTTTAATATGGTCAAATGACACTGCAGTGAAGACCATCGCACAACTGAAAATCCACGTATTAAATTGTCAGCTTCAGAAACTGAAGTAGCAATCTGGTTTCCAGCCTTATACGAGTGTCTGCAGCCTCATGGTGTTTGGTAGGAAGCCCTCAGCTCGGCCCATCCTGTGGTGGGGTGGCTGGTGGGGGTTGGCTGGCAGTGGGCTGCGCTTGGCTTGCCTGTTGTGCCATGGCACAATTGATTTTTTTTTTTTTAATGACCTTGTGATTTTTTTTCTTACCAGGTGAAGTACCTGTGTTATTTAGGCATATGAATAACCTCCAGTAGAAATCCCAGTCTGCTTTCGGGTGCCTCTGCATTTATGGCTGCTCTGTTCAGATTAGATGAGGGGTGGGGGGAAGATCACTGCTTATTTTTGTGTTGTTTTACATTGATAGCACATATAAGCAGGGTAAGTGGAAAAATCTGTAGTTTCATTTTGAAGAGAGTCTCTTCAAACTCTTTTTGTCCTCCTCCTGTCCTGAACTTGGTGTGTTTCGCATAACGTTCCTCTGCATGCTCTAAAGACAGTGTTCTGTGCTTCATCTCTCATTTGCCTGTGTGAAGACTTACTGAGAAACACCAGTGCCTTTTAACTGAATTGAAGTGTATTGTGTGTTGTGGTACAAACTATATGTAACTACACTGTGCCAGGTCTGATTAGGTCCTCTTCAGTGTGTTTAGATACTGAAAGTCACAAACCAGGTATCTTTTTGTAAGTACAGCATTGAATGTCTTTGTCTTGATCTGCCAGTTTGTCTTACCAGTATGAAACCCATTTGGTTTTCCGTAGATTTATAGTAGTACTATTCAAAAGGGCTAAACAGACACTTTTCATTATATCGCAGCAATGGACCTAATCTGAAATATGTCTGTAAGCAAAAGAGAATCTCTGTGTTTTGCTGCTAACTTGTAACATAATCTAATTCTTACTCTGCGGAGCGCTTCTTAGCTGCCCTAGTTGTTCAGATAAATGTAACGTGTTCAGAGAGATGAGCTCAACCTTGGCAGATTTGCTCTGCCATTTTTCCCCTCCAAGGTAAGTAAGGAGATGCAACTCTACTTCAGAAGATTGACTGAGGAGTAGTTACTCAAAGCTTTCCTTCATTTGAAGATACAGAGGGATCGCTAATACAGTGAAGAAATACTGGGAAGTGTAGTTGCTCCAGAATAGATTTTAATAGCTTTAGACACCTTGCACCTTCTTTAGACTTAGTTGTACTACCAGAGATTTAGGGTCAGACAGTCATATGTCAGGGTAAAATGGCCAAACTTGCACAATGTTAGTGTTGTGTGCTCTCAGGTCTAGAAGAACATTTTTTTACAATCATCTTGAAGCAAATGGTTCCCAGATTTGTGTCTAAACACTGAGAATTCATCAACTGAACATAGTTGTCGTGTTATGAGAAGGTGGTGCACATGCTGTTGAGTGCTTTGAATAACAAAATAGTACTTTCTGTGTAATTAAAAAAAGTTCTAATGTGGAAAACAGAAGTGTCATGATAGCTAGTAGGTTATCTAGGGACTAGAAATTATGACCTTGAGATGGAAATGTACTCACTACGCTGCTCACTACTTTTCTTTTTTGAGTCTCGGGAGAATTCATTTGTAACATTCTGCCTACATTTCGTGCAGTGCCGGCTGATCCTTACCCTGCCGAGCCATTCAGCCAGGTAATGCTAGTCCATATCAAAACTGATCTCTGCGACAAAATCAAGCTGCTGCTTCTGATAATAAACCAAGTAATTCTGATAGTTCAGGATGTAGATAATAACCTGCCTCTGAAATGATCACCACTGATTTCCTTGCCTTTGGGCTCTGAAGCAACTAGCAAGGCACACAGAAAAACTTGCTTTCATTCAGTTTTAAATGCATCATCTTTCAGTAGATGGATGTCTTTAAGACTTCTCAAATGACCTTGGTATTACTTATGCTTTGCATTTGTATTTTTCAAAAAGCTTTTTGGTCTCACCTCTTATAGAATCATAGAATGGTTTGGGTTGGAAGGGACCTTAAAGCCCATCTAGTTCCACCCCCCCTGCCATGGGCAGGGACACCTTCCACTAGACCAGGTTGCTCAAAGCCGCATCCAGCCTGGCCTTGAACACTTCCAGGGATGGGGCATCCACAGCTTCTCTGGGCAACCTGTTCCAGTGCCTCACCACCCTCTCCAGGAAGAATTTCTTCCTGATATCTAATCTAAACCTCCCCACTTTCAATTTAACCCCGTTACCCCTTGTCCTGTCACTACAGGCCCTTGTAAAAAGTCCCCCCCAGCTTCCTTGTAGCCCCTTCAGGTACTGGAAGGCTGCAATAAGGTCTCCCCGGAGCCTTCTCTTCTCCGGGCTGAACAAGCCCAACTCTCTCAGCCTGTCCCCATAGCAGAGGTGCTCCAGCCCTCTGAGCATCTTCGTGGCCTCCTCTGTACTTGCTCCAGCAGAATTATGTGTCTTTTATTGCCTTTTTCTGAGTTTTTTTGTTATTCTTTCCAAGATTGGATTATGGTTGTTAAGCTACTGATGAGTTCATATATTGCCGTTAAAGATGTGCATTATTTCTGCATTATCCATTATGCATTCTAATAGTGAATTAAGTAAATATTTTCATGAAGTGATCCCTAGTGGCATTTTAGTCTTCCAAACATTTAGCTTACAGTACAGGACTCTAGAACTAATTCGTAGTTCCATTTTGCATTAAGTTTATAGATTTATTTTTTTTTTTGTTATCTCTCTTCATATGGAGTTTCATCCCCTAGCTTTGGTTATTTTGCTGTCTAAAATAACGTGGACTTCTTTCTCAGTCCTTGACAGTAGTGGTTCAATCACGAGTTTCTGACGTTCCTACTTTTGCTTTTCTGTTGGGTTGGAGCGGGCCTTTGCAGGTCATCTCGTCCAAACCCCTGCAAAAGCTGGGCTGACTTCAAAGTCAGATCAAGTTGCTCAGGGTCGTGTCCAGTCAAATTCTCAGTATCCTGAAGGATATACCACCTGGCCAAGCTTTTTGTGTTTGCCTCTCATGGTGAAGACTTACCCACCCCCAATACCTAATCAGAATTTCCTTTCCTGCAGCTTGTCTGTTGCCTCTTATCTTTTCACTGTGCGTTTCAAAGTTGATCATAAATCTTTACTGTTCAGATACTGTCTGCTATGTCACTTCCCAGTTTCTGGGACTATAACCAGTTGGCCATGTACGGTTTATATACTGGAAGTGAACTGCTAATAGAAAGGAGGCTAAACCAGTGTTTTAAGAGACTTCACCACTGCTTCCTCTATGTTCTAGAAATATGCCTTTCCTACAAACTTGACTTTGGCAAAGGCAGGCACCTATCCTGTGACGTGGTCCAAGAAAAACTGTTGGATCCATGTCCTGTCCTCAGGAAGTGGGAAGCCTAGCCTTCATTGCTGCGGTGACTTCAGCGCTGGAAATATGTAGACCAAAGAATTTGAGAATAAGCTTTGTAGTTGCCTTGGCTGCACGATGAGGAGATCGGGGTTGTTTCAGAACAGAAACCTTGTTTCAAGTTCAGTAAAAACAGGAAGAATTTTTCTAGCTTCTGTTTTCTGTCATGGTTTTGATGTACGTAGTTGATTAATTAGGGTGTCTGAGTCTCTAATGGCTCTTCTT